GAGTTGGAAGACAGCTAACAAGAAGCAACTTACTGGTAAGGAGCGAAACTAACACTTGTTTAAGTTTTTTGGAGTCCATACATTTATAACATCATGAGCGGAAAGCTCAAGTTATTAAAATGTTTTGCTACAATTGATTATGTATTTAAAGATTTTTCACGAGGTGGTGGTATCCTTTGCTTCACAAAGTTTTATATTTTAAACATTAAAATGCTGATTAATTTGCTTCACCGCAATTAATTTTTAACTTCTTTCCTTTCAAAGTGATTGGAAAATTAAAGTCACGATCAACCATCACAATGGTAAGTAGTTACAATACTATAAAATAATTGTAGATGGCCGTTGAAAACTCTTAATTTAAAAATGCCAATAAGACAGAGTAGAAGGGTTATTTTATTTAAAAAAAGGTCGTTGCACACTAAACAGGGAACGTGACTGACACCCTCGGCTAGTTGTTTCTTCAGGCATGGAAGTGATTTGGCGGGAATGACCAAAAGCAATCGTTCTTTACTTGAGAAAGCAGAATGTAAGCAAATTTTGCTGTAATCTTCCCTAGCTGGCTTGAAACTCATAATATAATCAATATTTCAAAAACAGCTCTCTTAGATACAAACTTTGGGCTTCATTTTAATTCTCCCCTTCTATTGAACAAAAATAGCATTTTTAACAATTTGTGTTCAGTTTGAGATTGGTTACATTTCAAATAAGCAATATTATAAGCCTGATGGATTTTTCACTTTATAGCAGTTCTGATGCCTTAATAGTTTCCTTTTATGTTCTCTTGATACAGTCTATGTCAGAGGTACAAGTCCATGCTGAAATCAACGGTTTGTTTAATGATATGAGGATAAGAAGAACACACAAGTTTGCACTCTTTGATATTGAAGGAAAGAAGAAAATTGTTGCTGACATGTGTGGTGATCCATGCAAAACTAAAACCAAAGAAGAGGATGAAGCACAGTTCAATAGAATGAAGGAGCAACTCACCAATGAGCCACGATACATTTTGTATGATTATGGATTTATGAAGAAGGATGGCAGGCGAGTTAATAAGTCGGCATTCATCTTCTGGTGAGTGAGGCTGTTCTCTGTATTTATAGCTGGTGACAGTGCACAAAATTTTCCTTTAGTCTCAAGACATTTTAGGCTGGATTTTACTAGCTCGAGAGAGTCAGAGTTGTAAGAGCATTTTATTTTATCAACCTAGTGAAAATAAAAAATCTGAGTGGTAAAAACACTTAAAAGTGCGCCAGAATTGGTAGCCTGCGTGGCAGGCGTTTGAAAGGGGAGGGGAATAGGATTCCGGGCGCACAAGAACCACAAAAGGCGCGCGAGGGGAGTGTAGGAAACGTCTGCAAGGACGCTTTCTTCGAGCAACCAAGATCTGCCTTCTCATATAAACACAACAACAGTTTTATAAGGAAACAAGGCATGAGCCGAGCTAACGCGGTTAAAACTGATCTAGTTCATCTCATCTCTCTTTTTTGATTCAGGTGTGACAAAAATGCAAAGATTGGAGGCAAAATGATCTTCGCATCTTCTAAAGACATCATCAAAAAGTCCTTCACTGGTTTATCACTGGAATTCCAAGCAAACGATGAGGGTGATTTGGATTACAAAGCTTTAAGCGAGGAAGTGGAAAAAGAGCTTAGATAGTAGACATCAGAAACACGACACTCAAGCTTTACAACTTTTCCTTTTGGTCTCTGTTTATCTCCCGTTTACCTTTGACATAACAGCCACTCCGTAGATAAAAATAATTAAAACCTTTAAATACCTAGTAATTAAGCATAAAAAAGAAGCGACTTTTTAAAACATTTAGCTAAAACTTTTCTTAAAAGCATTTAAGAAATTTTTCAAAAAGTTAAAAAATACACGACGTTTCGACGTTACCGGTCTTCATTATCAACTGAAAAGAAATACAATATGAATGTTCTATAAATACAAGAAAAACAATTATAGTTCATTAAAAGGAAAGTAACATATAAAAATATGTTACAATAATCTGCATCACACAGATCACTTGCAAATTTATAAACAACGCATGGCTGACTTACAATACTCGACTTAATTTCTTTAGGCTTAAGATCTTGCTCCAATTTTTTGCGCACAAAGAGCTGTAAAGTGACGGCAATCTTATTGCTGAGATCACACAATTGCCTCAGACTGCGTTAGCGGCTATCTGATCTTTGAAGGGAAGAACTATTCTGATCGTGTTGCCATCATAGGTTTTCTTTTCTAGCTTAGTTGCAATATTCTGAGTAAAAATATTAACAGTAGAATTTATGAGGTCAATTGGATAATCAAGTCGGCAGAAGAAAGAGCGTAACTTGGCACATTCCTCATTGAAGGTTTCTGTCGTAGATGACAGGGCATGGGCGCGATGTAACATGGTCTTCAATAAATTGGTTTTGTAACGCTTGTCTCCATGGCTATGAAAATGCAAGAGTAGACCAGTGTTGGTTGGCTTTCTGTAAACACGGGTTTCAAGTTATGTTCCATTCTTAATTATCTCAATTCCAATAAAATGGATCATATTATCAGCAGGAAGTTCCAGTATAAACTTTAGGTTCGGGTGTAGACCATTCAATGTAGTGAGAAAATCAGCAGCAGCATCGGTGCTAGGCATTCTAGCAAGAGTATCATCGACATACCTCTTATACAGAGAGGGTACCATACCGTCGCGTGTGAGATTTTCTTCGAGGTGGCACATAAACACATTGGCCATTAGCGGGCCAAGAGGAGAGCCCATCGCTACACCGTCAGTCTGCTCATACAAATGACCATCGAACTGAAAAAGCTGATTGGTAGTGGCAACTTCAAGGAGCTGTGTAAGTTCCTCTTTCTCAAGATTAAGATCATAGGTTTGATTAAACCAGTCGTCGGTAAAGGCTCTGCCGACCAGGATGTTAATAGTCTCACTTAAAGGTACATTAGTAAAAAGGGCCGTCACGTCATAGGCGACCAGTATATGTCTTCATCATTCATAGGGATGGAACGAATCTCATCAGCAAATTTAAACGCACCAGTAATCTTGTACTCGTTCACAGAAAGTGGTTTCAATTTTTGTTCAAGCCATTTAGCCAGGTTAAAGTTGTAAGTTGCAGTGGCTGATAAAATTGGTCTCATACTCAATTTGGCTTTGTGTGTCTTGGGAAGCCCATAAAGATGGGCCAGTCTTGAACTCTTCGGAGAAAGCGAAGTGGTGATGTCTTCAGGCAGTATTTGATGCAGGATTGAGTGCACACCTTTCTCTTTCTGAAGGAGTGGGCGAAAGTGTTTCGGTGATCGTCCACGAAGGTTTGGGCGTTTGTCATCAACAGGTGCAAATTTAGTAACGTCATCGATTGAAGCTGCGCTAAGAAGACGGATTTACTCAGTTTTGTCCATGACAACAATTTTGTCCATTGACTACAATTCAAATCTTGCTAACAAGACTTTTGCCAAAGAAAACCGATGATGGCAACACGATCATAATAGTTTTCCCTTCAAAGATCAGATAGCCGCTAACGTAGTCCGTAGGCAATTGCGTGATCTTAAGCTTAAAGAAATTATAGTATTGTAAGTCAGCCATGGGTTGTTTATAAATTTGCATGTGATCTGTGTGATGCAGATTATGTTGGCCACACAGCCCGACACCTTCATCAACGCATTGCTCAACACAAGTATTGAGCTATCGGTAAACATTTTTTAGAAGTGGGAAGGCGGTAAGTTAAACGCTGATAATTGCAAATAAAACTCCGACATTTCAGCAATGCTGCCTTCATCAGGGAAAATATGTGAGTTGGTTATAGCAACATTGTTCAGAATCGCACGGTGACACAAATCTTCTCAATGAGGGCCAATTTCGTGTTCTTAAGAAACGCCACGGGAAATTTGACAGCCTCGTTTACGAATGCTTTTCATCAAAGAACTGAGGCCTAGCTGAGGCCTGGCCTTAAAACTCAGAGTGACTCCATCAGTGCTAAACTCTTTGTTTGACTTGTAACATATTTTTATATGTTACTTTTCTTTTAATTAACTATTGTTTTCTTGTATTTCAGTATAGAACATTCATCATGATTGTATTTCTTTTCACTTGATAATGACCTCCGGTAACGTCGAAACGTTAACTTTTTCAAAAATTTAGTTTTTTCGCAATTTTTTATGCTAAATGTTTTAAAAAGTAGCTTTTTTTTAATGTACTCAAACACGCTAATCAGCTGCACTTATTCAGACGTCTTGAAAAGTGAGTAAACGCCTTATCAAATGTGAAGGCGCTGTTGAGTTCCTTTGCTTATGTTTGAACTTTGGTGTTACACCAACCTTTGCCCAAGTTGAACGAAGAAAAGCACGTAAATGGAAGAAAGCATCCGACAATTTTCAAAGGGAGGTTCTGGACGAGGAATTGAGATCCAAGTTATCTTATCTCAGTCATCTCAAGGAAGAAGTTCGAAACGCCCATAAGGACATCAGGGAGGAATGCTCAATCATTCGTTACATTGCCATCATACAGACTATGAATACACTGCGTCAGAACCAATATGATGAAATGATGAAAAGTCATGTTAGCAAGATTTCTCACTTATTGTCGAAGAAGTTTGATGTGAACGAACATATTAACAACATGTCTTCGTATCGTCTTTCTTTTTTCAAAAAGCTTGTCATCTGCAGAGGACTGAAATTTTCTCTACCAGAAAAAGTCGCTTCAGCTGAAATCAAAGCTAACTTTGAGAGAAGCTATTGGAAAGTCGAACCACTTGTGGAAGATCCTAATGATAAAGAGTTGGCAACTTAAAAACATTACGTTCAATCGCTTTGAATTACATTCTGCCCGCAAGACTTTCTCCACCTAAAGCTCTCGTGGAAGCGCTCAATCGATTAAAGAAACTTGAGGACATTTTTGTTACCAAACCTGACTTTGGTTCTGGAATTGTAGTCATGGACAAATCTGAGTACATCCGTCTTCTTAGCGCAGCTTCAATCGATGATGTTACTAAATTTGCACCTGTTGATGACAA